TCCCAGAATATAAACCCCCAATTTCAAGAGGGTTTAGGGGCAACAAGTGTAAGACTCTGTCCATTCCAAGTAGAACTGCAATTAGCACGGGATCAGGAGGATCATGTGGGATCAGGGATACTGAAGGCACTCAGCGGAAGAAAAACACCCTACAGCCATCTGCAGCCCGTGCAACACACACACACACACACACCCGGGACCAAATTGATGAAAGAAAAAGAGCTTGAAATGGGTTGTTGCTCTCGGAGATCCATCGTATCATGCCGACAAGAACCCACAAAGTCTCCGCCGAAACCATGCAATCTCTGAAACCAAAAACATGGAAAACATGGGCAGCTCCAGAACATGAGGATCGATCCTGCCCCAAATCGAGCTCTCCGGTTCTCCCCAGGTTTGTCGGTTCGAGAAACCCTTCGGAGGGCCCAGTTCGATGGGACTGCTCAAGTTCAGCTCCTGCATCCGCCCGCGCAGCGGCGACATCTTCCTGAGGCGGAACAAAGACAGGACCGAACTGAGTTGAAGATTCTCCTCCCACCACGCAGTGCGGTCGAGAGACGTGACTCCCCAAACCAGTTCGGCATTGGCGATTGTATACGATTTTCCTCTCACCATCCGAAATGGGTGGTGCTGGTCTTTCTATAGGCCCATTTATGAATGGCGGATTTTGCAAGAGGTTGATCTGGCCAAGTGAGAGTCCTAAGTGTGTGTGTGTGTGTGTGTGTTTTTCTGCAAAGCCTTCAAGACCATTGGAGAAGCGAGCAGCGCAGTGTGCCAGTGTGGGTGCTGTTGGTCATTCGGCTAAACCCATCCATTTTTACGCCGCGGTCAACTCATCAGCCCACCCGGTGGTTCCAAGCGAGTCAGCGAGCCAACGTCTGTGTCGAAACTCACCCCTTATCACGTCGATCAGGCCGATCAGGTCGACTGACCCGGGAAAATCCGTCACGATATTCATCAAAGCATTTTCCAAGTTCTCAAGTTTCCTTCAAGAGCGACCAATGGAAACACCGGAAGTAGGTTCACGGGGAAGAAACACCGGCGCAGCAAAACTCGTTTCCAAAGCTCCATGCCCTTTTCCATGCGGAGGAGAACCATCTAACACGTCATGCGAAAAAAACAGAAAACGAGACCGTTGCACCACCGCATCCGCAGATTCCGCGCAAATGAACACCGCGCCCAACCGGCCGTGCGGTGCGGGCCGGCCGCGACGGTGGGATCCGCGCCTTTGAGATTCCGCTGCGGCGAAGCGCGCCACGATCAGCGCCAGGTTGTCACCCGGGTCGTGGTCCCGCAACGTGGTCGTCTGTGGGTTCACGGCCCGGAGGAACGTGGGGGGCGTGAACCGCTAAGCCATTCGGAAGCTCTGGAAGCTTGGTGTGCTTTACGTCCTCGTTACAAATGGATCATCATGTGCATATTTACAACATATATATATATAGTATTATAACAAATCATGAAAACAGGATGTAACAGTGAAGCTTAGTGAACTCTTGGGATGTCCTCAAATTACCATGCAGCTATTCTATGCGAGGTTCCAAACTCGTCGTTCTGTCCCTCTCAGACACTCTATTGACTGACAGCCTGGCACCACCCCAATTACAGTATATTGTAATATATTCCATGCAACATGGAGTGCTTGGGTCTGAGATCTCCAACGCCTTGTGGCGCAGCACGGTGTCTGGTGAGAATTCCGGTTTCGGCGGCTGAAGGTGGAGATCCGGTCCCGCTGGTCGAGATTCCGGTGTCGCCTGAGTAGGTGTAGGAATTGGGCGCTCGTGATGTAGGAATTGCAAGCGAGGCTCGGGTGCAAATGAATGGAGGATAAATTTTTGAATTGTTGGTTTAATGTTGCAATGTCTCAATGTTCATCATGTTTTCACCTATCTTACCAATGTTGCAAGACGTCTCAATGTTGTACATAACGTCTTTTTGTGCAGTTGTAGCACTGTCACAGCAAGGGAACATTTGAACTCCTCCCCGACACCGAAGGGGAGGTGTTAGTGACACCAACAAGGGGATCAAGGATGAGGAAGGCAAAGAACAATCTGATCCTTATTCTCAGCCTCCCCCCAAAGCAATGGATCTTAAGAACTCCACCATCGATTTCAACACCATCCTTCTGGAGTGTTCTGTGCCTCCTTCGAGGTGTTCTTGAATGGGTCGCACACAGCTGCTCACAAATGTTGAACATGAACCCTTTCAACCCCTAGGGCTCCAACCACCTCCTGAGAAGATGGTTGGGGTGAGTTTGGGGGGTCTAACCACCTTCTGAGGATATAGTTGGAGCCCTAGGGAGCATACTTGACAATATTGCATATTTAGAGAATATATGTACAGTAGCCCTTCTCAATTCTGCGATGTTGTTCACAAACTCGACGTTGCAGGAAAACATGCTCCAAATGAAAGGACTTGGCCTCAAAAAAACCACCAAATCAACACCCACCTCCCTGATGAGTTGGATGAGGGGTTTGAACAAAAAACATGCCCTTGAGATTCCCTACGTCAGATTTCGTCCACTAAATCACTCACTCCCCAGCATCCTTCCTCTGCAAATTTGAGTTTGGGATACTGATGCCCATCTTCCTGGGTGTTCAATGGAAACATCCCTGTGCCCAAAACATCTATATAGATTTCATCACGTCGCTGCCGTTGTCCAAGGAATATCCGCAACGAAAGCTTCTGTTGCCGAATGACCTCGGCAACTCCTCGCTCTTCCTGGGGCACCTCCGCGCCCGCCGCGTGCGCCGCCTGCAGCGCCGCCGGGGGCGTGACGGCCGGCAGCTGCGCCAGGGCGGCTTCCAGACGCCACTCCTCCCAGCGTTTCTCTTCCTCGGTCGGTCTCCAAGAGAAGAAAGGAGTGGCCAGTGTTGGAGGAACATGGAGGAACAATGGGTGTTTGGTGGTTGTTGATGTCAGGCGCCAGTTCTGTCAGGCTGTGGATTTTCGAACTCAAAGAAGTTAACCATGAGAGGCAACCAGAGTCCAACGAGACCCCTCTTCTCCTCCACCCTCCAAGCAGGTGCAGCCTCTTTGGTTGGATCGGATGCGTTCATCCGTTTTTGCTCGCCTGCGGGTTAACTAACCCTTCACTTCCTCACCCCTCGGTCTTCGAAAGCGAGGAATTCGATGGACCGATCCACTGCGATTCGGGGGTGCGGCCGGGTTCTGGAGAAGTGGAGCTTCGAGCCTCGATCCGGGGTGGAAATCCGGGGGAGTGCGTTGACACACGGGAGATCGTCTGGCCGCCAATTCATGTCGAACAGCCCGCACGGGGTCTCACTTAGGCTCCACCAGCCTCAGTGACAGGCGAGAAAACATTGCAAAAAAGAACAGGCACTACAAAGACTTGCATATTTACAATACGTTGGTGTGGTTGACTTGGGGTCAATGTAGCGCAGTACATGAAGTACCTGGAATGATACGTTAACATACATGCTCATGCTCCTCATGCCGAGCTTCAAAGGCCATGCTCATGCTGTGCTCGGGCTTCGCTTTGAAGACCTGCGGATGTTTCGGGGGGGTTCGATGCTCGGGCTTCGCACCCTCCAAGGTGTTCCAACGACGATACCTGCGACTTCAAGAAGTCTACAGAAGGCTTCTGCGATCGGAGGACCGGTTGGAAGGTGCAGGTCATGTTGGAAGGTGCAGGTTTTGGGGGCCTTGGCTCCGGCTGCAGCCATGTTCGGTCGTCCATCCTCCATGTCCCCCACCAGGCCGGTGGTATGATATGAATCATCCACATCGGCCTCAATGAATCAATGAACGATCCGACAGGATGACTTGAAGGATCCTCTTAGTCATCAAGATCATTCACATCCTGTCAATAAGGCTCCTTATATCTGTTCCTTATATTGCAATACGCAACTTAAGCACAGCACCCCAAATAGAAGACTTGTGGCAATAGGGGGATAACCTTCCAAACCATCTAAAGACTCACAAACCTCATGTCAATGTCTTATTCCCTAGAGATCCAAGTACCTTCTCAGGAGGTACTTAGCTACATAATACTGTCTCTTCTGAAGGTACGACTGGATCCCTTAACAACAAAAGGTTGACACATCTCCATCTCACTCAGCACCACCCCACACCCTCGCCGCAGACTGGTCACCTTGGAGACTGGCATCACCACCTTCTCCGGTGTTACCTCAGTAGCCTCAGCCTGGCAGCACCAGCAGCGCAAGAAGTCCATGACAGCGCGGTGCTGGGCGCTGGCGCACAGCTAGCGGCAAGTCCGTGTGTAGTAAGAAGCGGTGTAGCTGGCTGGGGGGGGGCATAAATTGAAGAGTTTGAGTACTTGGAGCACAGGATTTTATGGGTTTGCTCTTGTTTGAAGTTGGAATTGGTGTTTTGTTGGAATTTCAATGCCTCCTTTCCGCTGTCCTCTTGGGATTTGGTCTCTCAATTTGTTCGTCTCAATTTGTTCGTCTACATCTTGCCGGCTCGCGTGATTTCCATCGAGAACCGGAGATCACGCACGCCCTGGAACATCATCATGCGTGTCACGCAACGTGCACCCCAAAAAACATGTTAAACATATATTCATATGGGAGTTGTCCAACAAATGTGTGTTTTAACATTTGATCGAAATTCCTTCACTGGCAATAACGGACGGCCCTCATATGAGCTTCTTCTCCCCAAAGATCCCAAGGCTTTCAGCCTTTAGCTGAGCCTCTTTCGCTCTGGCCTTCTCTTGAGCCGAGACCGATGGGTAAAGCTCAAAGCACCGCGGCGGCTTTGTTGCCGGTGTCTGACCCTTAGGCCCTTTGCGGCTGGCAAAAGAGAAAGACACAAACGGAAACTTAGTTTCTGGGACTCTGGGACTTCGGGAATTGTTCTCTTCTTTTGAGCTCGTGATTTTCTAAAGATGAACATCACTTTGGGAGGTCTTTCGATCAGAAGGCTCCTTCCGAAGGCACTCTCATACTGCAGAAGAAGTGCCGAAATCACATGCCCAGCTCCACCCAGCTCCACCCACCACGTCGGTGTGAACGTTCCGAAGCCTCGCGAAGGACGGTCGTCTTCCCGGCATCAGGCACGCCCGCCACCAAGAGCAACTGCGTCTTGGCCAAGGACAAGCGCTGCAATTGCAAGCTCTGCACCACTCGCCGGGCTGCCTGAAGCGATGTCAAAATGCTAGTTGTGCTGGTGGCATGGCCCTCGATTGGATAGGGTGGACCAAACCCCACGTGGCATTGTGCGAATCCAACAGCCACACGGGTCCCTAGAAGTTCAGGAGGCCTTGCCCTTTCCATTTCTAGCTGAAAGCTGTGGTGTGCGTGCGTGCGTGCGTGCGTGCGTGCGTGCGTGTGTGTGTGTGTGTGTGAATCATAGGGAGCCGTTTGATCTTTGTTTGTCTTAAGAATGCGGGGGTGCAAAGCACAGTGGAGATTGCACCCAACGATGCTTTCGTGGTGGGTAATGATAAGCTCTGGTCAGCTCTGCGTATCTGCTTTGTCTTGACTTGGAACTACCTAATGGGCCTTGCTTGTAACTAGAACAACTGACCAGCCTTTGCGTCCGTTGTGCGTTCTGCAAGCAAGTGCGCTCCGCATCGCTCCCATTTGTGGAACCTGTTTCTATTGACTTTGCAATTGCAACCTTTTGAGATGGTTGGACCGCATTGCATACTACCGATCTGATCTCTAGTGTATCTCGAGAGTGGGGATCTTAAGTGTGTGTGCGCGCAGGCTCGACCTCTAATATGCAGTACATAACGCCCTACAAGAGAAACCCAAATCTCCGGAGGTTTCATCAACGGCCTCCGTAACTGCCTCCGTAATATATCCAGAAAACGATAGATGTCTATACACGGTCATTTGGGGCCCTGCTACAGGCCGGCGCCTTCTGTGGCGCCTTGCCCGCCGGGTCCGCCTGGCAGCACCGGTTTGCACGAACGACGGACACGTGCACGAAGGACGTGTAGAAACGTCAAACGCGCCACCGAAGGAAGGGATTTCTCACCACTTGGATGGACTTTCTTTCAAACCCGTGTGTGTTGTGACATGTGAGCAAACCGGGGTGTGCTCATTGCTTAGCCAACGACAAGATTATGAAATCGGGAGATTTGCCACAACAGCATGAACTTTGGGTGTTCCAGATTCTTGGCAATTCCCATTTGAACCTTCCATGCAATTCCTGAGCAACACCTGCTCCAATACCCCAGATCCTTACAGGAATGATGCAACCGAACCTAAGCTTATAAGCCTTAGTCCATTATGGGGCCACACATGCACAGCCAGCCACTGTAGAATTCGATAAAACTAGACAAACCAGATTTGATATGATTTGATAAGGACGCCTTGCCAAAAGATCCTCTTCGTCTGGTCGACCCTTCTTGAAAAAGGCGCTTCTGCTCACCCCCCACCTTCTTCGGGCGGAACCTCCAACATGTGAGTAGAACAATTGGACTACCCAGCACCTTCCCAGGGGTCACCATTGGACTACCCAGCATGTTCCTTCTTGGAGCACGCTCCATGTATGTTCCTCCATTACGACGCACCCTCCTTCTCGGGCCGCGCCCTGCCTCGGACAGCATGGAGACCCAAGGGTCCCTCGGACATCCGTGGAGATGGAGTATGATGCTATGAGATCTCCAAGTGAAGGAGGTCATTGGGGTCATTCAGCAACTTCCGCAGGTGAGGCCAAGTCAGGCCAAGTCATGCCAAGTCTTAAGGTTTGAACCCTGACTCAAGCACTTCAGAGTATAAGTAAATCTCTTTTCCCCTAATATAGGACCATGTCACCACGACTGGCCACCGTCAAGTGACCGAAGACTCGGTCCAAAGGGACCACCGAGACCATTCCTCCTTCGTGATCCGCAGACCGGTCCCAGGTTGGTCCCCCGATTGGATGAACGAGTCGACGGCGAGAATGAGCAAACAAGTCCACGAGAAAGATGGATTGGTCTGTAATGAGAAACATGCTACACAGCAGGGCGGACTTGGAGCTAGGGTTTCTTGACAAGGCCTACTAAGGGCCTACTACTGCTTCATATTCCTCTGTCATGCGTTGATTCAATCCCTTTTGTTCGCTGCGGAACTTCGATCATGGTCCAGGGTGCGCGCCACTGGCGCCCGGCTCATCTTGAGTCGGGGCGCCAACGCGCCACCGGCGCCCACTGAGGGGGCAAAAAAAGGCCGCCGCACACGGGGCGCATCTCCGGTACTACAAGAACTCGGCAGTGGGTTTTCTGCGGAAAGGAGTGCATCTGGGTGCGATTGGTGGGTGGGGCTGCAACAGATACGAATGCCACACGTGAACGCTTTTCGAAGGACTTCTCTTTGCGCACTGCGTGGTCGAAACCCACATGTTTGGAGCGGTCATACACGAACACGGAAAGAACACGGCTCGAGTGTGTCAACTCGTCAGAACGGAGATTTTAAAGGGTCACCGCAATTGCAGGGTCCTGGACTTATTCAACCTGAGGTGATGATGCTCTTGATGGAAACAACTAAATTGTGTGTTCTACTCACTTTTGCTGCACAGCAAGATGGTGTTCTACTCATGTTCTACATGGATCGATGCATGTTCAACAAGCTCTCAGGCCTCTTTGTCTTGTCTCTGCATCTTGCCTCATCCTCCTGCATCACCGGAGATCAAGGGCCTCCCACCCAGTCACCGGCCTTGCCGGTCGGAACGGGTCGCGACTTCAGGCTCCCACCACTCACGGCTTAGCCGATTCGGAAGAGCGCGGTGGGGTCGATGAATCTCGCCAGGTGGATATGCCGCAGGAAGGTGTGTTTGCACTGGCGTGGGAGTTTGTGTCATCCAAACAGCTTTTGTTGTGGGATGATCATCTCACACTCTCTATATAATATCATATAACTTGGAAGGTATCCAAAAAGAGCTTTCAACAAAGTCTCTATGGCTAGAAGATAAGCCACGGGCAAGGTGCTATCTCGTTTGGTCTTTTTCATGCGTGGATTCAAGAAAGGCTTGGGGACCGCCCAGAAGTAGGTCAGAACCTGATTGATGCACAAACCACTAGTACAATAGTGAAAAGCTCTCTCATTGTGCACGTCTGGCGCTCCGCAGCACATCAGACCGGCCAAAATCTGTTGAAAACACTCCGAAGCCGCTGCATCTGAAGCCTTCAGGGCCGGCCATATATAAGACATCGCCGGTTGTTTTCTTTGCCTTGAGGGTGCTCCAGCAAAATCACTGAGCATGGTTTCAGAACTTCGTCTGCTGCTTCTGAATCACTGAATGACCTGGCAGTTCTTCAAACTAACCCGACCTAACCGGCCTAAGAGGTATTGAAATAAGGTCTTGCAGAACTAGGCAAGGCAGAACTCACCAACAACCATATTCACATCATTAGCATTCATTAGCATACGTATTACAGTTTTCCAACCTTCCAATGGTTTTGAGATCTTGCAGGACAGGCACCCTCAGAGCAAACATTTAAGGCCCAGCTCACATCATCGCCAACGTGAGAGGCTCACGCCAGCTCTCACTGCCATGGGAACTGCGTCCTGGCCGCTGCCAGTCGCAGCCCAGATTCGCGAGGGAGGTTGAATCTAAGAGCCATAGTCCCTGACTTGTAATCACTTCCAAATGGTCTTTGTTGGCCGAAAAGCTAAGCTGTCAGCTTTTCGGAACTATACAACCTAGAACTTTGTTTCCTGATTGACCGCTCTTTTGGAGCAGCATGGCCTTTTCATCTCAAAACAAAGGTCCAACGGTGAGTGATGTTGTTTTTGAAGATGTTCCGCCCAAGGCTCCATCAATGTGAGATCGGCGCTCCCACCACCTGCTACTGGATGGGACCTCAAATGGTGTCCCAGAGCCGCCCCTCAAATCACGGAAAATGATCAAGTCCAGCACTGCGTCCCTGAATCTCTGGTGCAGAATCTGCGCCCAACATACTGATAGGACCTGTAAAGTAATAACATCAAGCATGCTTTCGGCTTCGCTGGCTGCGTCATGTGGTGCTCCGAGACTGCTGTTTCCTCCCCAGCCAAACGCCTGCCGAAAAGGACCGGTCACGCCGGCCGAACGCGCGACGACCGTGCCGGGCACCGTCCTTCTCCTTCAAAGCGTTCTGAAGGTGCATGAGGGATTGCTCCAAGCGCGCGACACGCTCGGCCATGTCCTGCAACACCGTGAACCGCCATCGTGTCGCCATAGCATGGACGAGGTGCCGCAGGAAGCTGCACACGAATCACATGACTTCCAAACTTGCCCGGATGTGGGAGCTGTGTGGTGAAGCATGCTGGGATGAGACAAAATGACAAGCGACGAAACCTCCGGCATGATCAACATGTGTACTACCTCGACTGGTCGTCGACTGAAATCCTGGGTAAAATCCAGCTATTACAGTATACTCACTATAGGATTATACATGGATATACAATCATAGCATTAAAAAACACAACAAAAGACACCAACAACTTCCAGCTTCGCCATCTCGCCTCGATGGTTCTCATCTGCTCATCCTGATCCGCCGTGTTATAGGTTTTCGTGCTGGGTGCACACCACCACAAGTAGCTTCGCCGGCGCACCTCCTGGCGGGTTTCGGCGGTTCGGCCGGCGAATTGGAGGGCGACCCGGAGGGCGACCGGAGGGTCCGAGGGACCTACCGACATGTTTAGGTCACGAGGTCCGCGTGGTTGGTCGTTTCGCAATAGGCAAGCGACTGAGGCAAGCAAACTGTTGTGCCATGGTTGTTTGAGGAAAGATAGGAAAGAACAAAGTGCCGTGGCTGTTTGGTGAAAAAAACAAAATCCAGTAAATACTTGTTCCTTTGACCTCATACTCCAGTTCACCAAGGCCTTCCCACCAATGCCCACTACAGCACTGTGGCCAAGTTCAGCATTGACTCTTTGGATGTTTCCGAATTCCTATATTGTTTCCTCATAAGGTCCACAGACTTGGGACATTGAGTGGTCTTAACCTTTCACTTCCTGCCACAAAGCAACTTTGATCCATGTCTTTGTCCAAAAAGCCTTGACCGTGACCCGTCCGGCGTGCCGCAGGTCTTCGCCGCGCCCCACGAGGAGCTTCGGTTCGGTTCTGGCCTCGCTGCTCCAGGGACGAATCACCAGGAGACACTTGAGGATGAAGACCCCTGCGAAGAGCAACAGCGCTGCCACCAGCCCTGGACACTCCTGCGCATGTGCCACAAAACGCAAAAGGTGCCAGTAGGTGGGCTGTGAAGGTTCATGAATGCCCTGGAGGGTTCAAACACATGAGGTGAGATCAGTTGATCTTCTTGTGCTCTGGAAAGGGTCTAAGTCTCCATCTCAACCCCCTTCAAATGGCAGTCCAACTGCAACAGGGGACATACCTAAGACAGTATTTATGAGAAGCGCTCGACCACTTGAAGATGCTTCAAGCGGAGATCCGCTTAACCTACTGTTTAAACAATAAATAGTTCTTTAAACAACACACCCACTTCTTGCATCTCATCATATCTCATCCCATTGTTCCTCAAAACCTCACATGGCGAAACACTCCTCGATGCACAGGCACAAGACCCAAAGCCCAATGAAGATCACCGCCAAAACTGCCCAAGCACAAGCGAGTCCCATTCGCCCTGACAGCAGAAGCACAGGCAAAACCAAGTGCTGAAGGCAATGCAACTCATAAGGGATTTGCACGCTTTGCCGTTCCGGCCATCTGGCCCCGCAAAACATGGCCTTGGAACGATGCCGATGTTTAAAAAGCGGCAGCATGTCTTTCTACATGTAACACATGCATATATATATATATATACACATTCGGATAGTGACTTGGCCTCTGGAGGGTAACATGTAGCTTTCAGTGTCTGACAACGGTAAGTTTTTCTTGGCAAAGAACTTGGATACGGAATGATGCAATGATGGCGCATAGGAATTCAACAAATGCGCAAAATCATCTGCACACTGGTGATTTGTTTGTATTATATACATCTATGTTGACCATGATTCACAGCACCCTGGATCCTGCTCTGCTCAGAAGCTTTCACACCGAAGCTCCTCTGTTTGTTCTTGGCCCTTGTACATCGCATGTGAAACAAACAGTTGAGGGCATTGCCGACTACCTGGCTGGCTCAACATGTAGAAAGAAAACCTGTAACAAAACATGTTGATTGCTTTACTTTAGTATCTTTTGGATATATCGATCCTCATTTTGCCTAGCAGTTGGACCAGCAAGCATATCCAAGAACCATCACAGGCGACAAATGGTTTCGCCTGAAGATCCTTAAACATCACCCAGCGCTTTCGGGGAAACAACACACAAATTCTCTCTTTCTCTCTCTCCCTCTCTCGCGAAAGTACAGGTATGGCGAAATTCCTCCGACCCTTTGTGAGTGACCTTGTGTCGAAAGTGAATCTTTGCCCATGCAACGTCGGTCGCAGTGATAAAATCGACCCTGCCTCGAAGCAAGCATGAAGGGAACATGGGCTGCACCATACAGTGCACGCAAATATCCGCCCGTTCCTGCGCCCAACGTGCGTTCGGATGGCTTGGCATCCCGGAAACGCATGGTGTGGGTGAGTCTTGCGACTTATGTGCTTTTCGGTCTTTTTACGTGTGGGGGTCTTCACGATGATCCTTGCCAGCTGTC